CAAGTGTTCCAAGGAGTTCATATAACGATGAATGAATATAGTATTTTTGTGCGTGTGTTTTTAACAATAAATTTTTAATTATAACAAGTAATAAAGATCGTCTAAATTCATTTTCATTATATTACAATTATTCCGTAGTGTGATTAATCGGTTCCATATTTAATCAATTAATACAATAATACAAATAATGACACACTCGTCGTCGTGCCAGTGCAGTGATTACATTTTACATCGATATAACGATCATCGATTCGGAATTGAAAGAAAGAGGAAAAAGAAGAAAGGAAAAAGAAAACGTTTATAGATATATATTCAAAGTTTTTTTCTCGTTCACATCATCTTCTTTCGTTTATTTTAAATCGATGTTTATCACTTTATGTAACTTTTAACGACTGATAGAATACGTATGCATATAAATAATGTACGAGTAACCAGTTTTCTCATTAAATGAAAAATTATTCGAAGGAAAATATTTAAGGCAAAATTGTGTAACTTTTTGTTTTTATTGTCGTCGAAGCGATCGTTGTAATTATAGCTCAATTATAGATACCGAGTTGAGAGTTCTACAATTTAAGCTTGACTATGCGCATATTTGTATTTAAAACGGAAAAACAAAAACGCTTTTCTCTTCTTTTTTTCTTTCTTGAAAGAGTAATAATTTTTTTTTTTTTTTCACAAAATCGAAACGTTTACTTTATCACGAAATTATTTTTTTTCTTTCTTTCGATTCGAAGATTTTAACCAGAATGCCATCTAGTTTAGAGTAGATAAAAAATCGAGAATAAAAAAACGATACAGTTTTTCGAGAATAAGGACATCGTTAAACTATTTTGTCAGAGATCGACAATATTCCTTCAATGACACGTAACCGCAAAGAAGAAATCGATCGCGAAAGATAAAACGTGCACGCGGGGGAAGATTTCAATCGTTCTTCAATCGATTCGTAGAATTTTTTTTTTTTGGTTAACTTAAGGAATCTCGAAGAGAAACGCTTCGATTCGTTTAGAGTTGAAGAAAAAAAAAAAAAAAATAATAATTGACGTTAATTCGATAAGTCAATAATTCGTTTCAAGGAACCTTTTAAAAAGCTTGTTGTGAGAGTACTTGTTAATCGATCTTACGTTAAAAATTTATTTCATTGAAAATTGATCGAGCAATCTTATAATATTATGCACAAAGAAAAAGAAATCTTACGATGGAAAACGTTGTTTCGATGACCAACTCTGGTGGTCGATACACTCGCTATCATCGCTATCTTCCTCCGCACGATTTCATCGAAGATAATGCGATGATAATCATAATCGATAAAGACAATCTCGTTCGTAAAAAAAAAGGATCCCTCGCGCGATCTTCAACGTTCCCCTCTTGAACGTTTGAGAAAGAAAATGTGCACACTGTCGAAATGATAGTGATTCGAACAACTAGGAGTTAACTGGACAAAATTATTATTTTTTTTTCTAAAACAATATTGCTTTCTAATATAATTTGTTAGTTTCATTCGAAAGTGTATATAATTATAAAAATATGACTGAATGTATAAAAAGAGATTAACATTGCGTTTAATTGATATAGAAGGAAAAAGAAAAATAATGATCGATACATAAAAAATATATAAATATACGAATATTTGTGATTTTGTGATCTTAAGTAGCCAGACGTAGCAAAATGTTGTAGTAGGCAATTAATTTAGAAAGCACTTCGAATTTGAGAGACATACGATAAGCTGGACGTTGAGAATAGATAATGATATTTCGAAGAAATGTTAAGGGAAAGATGATTATTAAAAAAAAAAGTTGTCCGATAGATACGGCCAGATATGGGTTTGAACAATTTAACTGAGTAATGATAAAAACGATAAAACTGAAAATTATAAAATGAAAAAATACTATAAGAAAATATATTTCATACCGATCGGTCAAACATTGAAAGAAATATAAAAATTGGCAACTAAAGTTAGGAATATTATTATTAACAATAGATAGTTTAAAATTAATCCATAAATATCAATGGCTGGATTAAAGAATCCGCTAAGTAGCAAATATATCATAGTCGTAAAAGTTAAAATCAATTTTAATATAGTTTAAAAAGAAAAAGTAGAAAATTTTTACTTTTCATACATTCATTCTTATCATGGAACAATGTGGAACACATATTAAAAATCATTGACGAATTGTTACATTGCGTGAATTTCCAATACGAAGTAATTAATTTAAGTTTAAGTTTAATTTACAAAAAAAAAAAAAAAATAAAAAACTTATCGATAATTTATAACGATTTAAATTAAAAATAAATATTTCGAGATGTTATATCTGTGAAATTCAAATGCTTAATAAATTTCCAGAATATTTCTCGATTATTGAAATGTGATCAATCGTTTCCTTTAATCCATAAACATTTAAAAAGAGCATTTAAAATTTTAATGTATATTTGTTTACACATTAAACAATTATTCTTTATTCATTTGAAAATGAATTTTGCTCATTTAATATACATCATTCGAATCACTGTGTCGACAACGCACGCATCCTTTTTCCGTTTTGTTTATCATGTCCAAAGTGGAGGAGGATCGTTCGAGGAGGAAAGGAAGCGCGAAACGGAGACTATCTTGTTACTTCGTTGGTTTCGTTTGTTCGACGCAATCGGTGGTGTCGCACCGTTCGCTTCCATCTCGCGTGGCACGAGAGCAACTAGATCGATTCCAGTCCAATTTAGATTTTTCGTCGCTTAAACGTCACGCTTCTGTACCGAATTTTTATATTATGCCAGGTGTCGTGGGGATTTATCTCGTAGCCAAACTTTGTGCAAGTGGTAGAGTGGCACGATTTTCGCGAAAAATGTGCGAAAGTTATGAATTGATCGAGGTTGTCGTAGTGGGTCTCGTTTCACCGTTCATTTTCTTCCATTTTTGAGAGGAATTCAAAATATCGAATGGATTAATCGACAGAAAGGACGAGAATGGATTACTGTTGATCGTTCTTCGATTCTCTTCGATCCTGTTTCCTATAATATATATTTCGAATCTTTTTCTTCTGTGAAAGGTAAGGAAGGAATTTTTCTTTTAAAAAAGAACTTTTATCAAAATAATCAACAACATTGATGCCTTCGACTGCTAGAGTATGGTTAGAAATGTAATTATATAAATGAAATAAATAAAATAGCGTCATAACAAAAGATAAGCAAAATGCTCGGTCTTGATCCTCAAGGGAAAATAGAGAATCAAGAATAACGTACGAAACGTTGGGTTTTGAAATTGTTTCGCGTCTAATTTTCAGGAATACGTACATAGTAAAATTATATACAGGTATTGGCTTAACACAATTCACAAAATTAAATATTTCAAAAGTAAATTGCATTATCACCTTCAATATTGACATTGTTGGTATTATCAGTGCTACTCTAATTTCTCTCCATTGCAACCGACACGTCGAGTCCACGACTCAAAACAACAGATTGAACAACAGGTACGTTAATTATTATTTATTTATAGAAAATATATGAGGAACGATACCTATTTAATTTCAATAGAAATAAACGCGAATTAACATACAAGAGAGTTGCTAAGAATATTTTTTGCCAATGGTTTGAATTACTTGCGGTGTGTGTGTACACAAACCGCTGCGGTTTGCAAAGCAAATTTATTTTTTTCCATCGCAAATGTACTTTGATCGATGCTTCTTTTTCTATATTTCGCTTTTTTAACAACCCATTCACCCAAAACCCAAAGCCAATCGGATTCTTAATTGAGATTTAAATTTTCTCGAATATAATTTCGAGAATGTGTTCACATTTCACAAACAAATCGATCGATAGCGATGATTCTCATATTTTAAAAATAAGAATATTTTCACTTTTAAATAAATTATTTTCAAAAAAAAAAAAAATAAGTAAAAATTCGTTGCTAAATGAAACACTATATCTAGGAGGATGATACGTCGTTGTTCGTATTGTTGTTGTTATTTCGTTGTTATTATCTCGCCACGATAACGTTACCATTGCAAAATTTCATTTCATTTACGATCTGATTTCTCTCTCTCTTTTTCTCTCTCTCTCTTCTCTTCTCCTCTTCGGATGATTTCCTAATTCCTGCGATAGCAATATTTCATTCTCATTAAGGATAGGTGCTTAGCACGTTGACATTGTGTACATAGATAAGAAAGTCTTCGAATTGGTTTCTACCCTGTTCCTGCTCAGTTAAAAACCATCCAGCCGCGCTCCC